TAAATTAATTTATATAAAAAAATTAATTTTTAAAAATTTGTCAATTTACTCCCTTTTTGCAGCACCAAGCCCATATATGTTTCTTGTTAAATATTTAACCAATTTTAATGATATTATTATCAAAATCAGAAAAACTTATTTTACAAACTTTATTTATTATATAAAAATAATTAACTAAGTAAAATTTCTTTAAATATTAAATATAAAAAATTTACTATTAAGATCATATAAAAAATGATATATATACCCTTACTTTTAAATTTTTGTTTTGCTATGCTGTTATAACAATTTTTTTAACTGAAATCATATTAAAAATATATTAAAGAAAATAAAATAGATATTTATATTCTTTAGTGATATGGTTAAATTTAGTGAAGTGAATATATTTGTATTTATAGCTTTATTTGTTTTTTTATATATACTATTTACAATAATCTTTTTTTTAGCAGAAACCATCTTTGAAAGACAATAAAAATGAATTATAAAAGTGTAATTATCATAGTGATAATGAATATTTTTTTTGTTCTGAAAGCTTTGAGTAATATGAATAATCATATTACCAATAATATATATAATTGAAGATAGTAAAGTAGAAGTTTGCATTTATAATATTGTTTAAAATTTTTAGTTTTTGCTATATATACTATTTACAATAAAATTTTTTTGATTATAATAGAAGCTGTATCTGATAAACTTGTCAACAAAGTGACAAAATAATCATTATTTTAAGATCATGAAACTTTATTACAAATAACATATAGATTGAGATAATGTTACGACAAGGGAGAGACTTTATAACTGCACTGCCAATTTAACTACAGATCGTAAGCATTATAGATAGGAGACCAATCATTTTTTATTATGCACAAGACAATAAAATGTACTAAAATATAAGCGGTACAAGTAAGTATCTTCCTAACAAGTGTACCCGGTACCCAAGAGTCCTCTAAGATACTACTTCCTATTACTCTATTCCCGTCGAGTAAAAGAAGAACCTTCCTAAAGCTACTATCTTTATTTGCAAAGAATGTTCTACTTATATATGTCGTGCGTCAGATTCGAAGAGGGGTAGATTTAAAATTGAGTTGTATCAGAAAGAAATTTGATTCTGAAATGCGTCAAACCAAGATTATCATTTACGCGACGTGTATAATAAGTCTAATAATAATTAAATCTCAACCAATTTATTGCGTATTTCGTACCGAGTTAAACTGTAGAAATATTCATCCACTATATGCAAATTTTTCATGTCAAGATGTCAAAATTTTGGCATCGAATAAAAAAGAAAAGCTCTAATTAATCAAAAATTATAAGAAATAAAGTTTTTCTTTCCATCTCATTAATATATCACACTGTACTTCACTACTTTGCGTTATTGATTAAATACTTGAAATTAGATAATATTTTAAAAGTCAAAGAAGCAATGCTAAAACAGATAAGTATGCTTGTATTATCAAAACAAATATCTTTGTAAAATTTGTCGTTTGGATGGAAGTAAATGAATTATACGTAATTACTGCAATTAGATTTACTGCTAAAACTATTTTGGCCTATTCAAGATAATTACGATATAAGTTCAATACAAGTCGAAATATTTCGGTCACATGTACAGAATAATATAGCATGAGCGACGCCCAAAGAAAACTAAATTTTGGCTTCGGCTTTTAAATCTAAAACCTACCCTAATAAATCCGAAGAATATTTAGGAGTACAGAGTTTTTGTTTTTTTTGGAATAACTTATATTTAGTTCAACACAAAACTTCTATTTTGACCTTACGCATCTCCAATTCAAATTTTAATCTGACACAATTCAGTTTTAAATTCGCATTCATTCTAATTTTACGCACAACATATACATTATTATTTTAATTATTAATTAAATCCGTAAGCCTTCTCTATGAAACTCACCCATTTCTTCGCTACTGAGCATACCACCTTTTTTTTGGACTTAAACCATTCATTATGTTTTTGTTTACAACACTCACATGATAAATCTACACAATATACTTCTAATTCTAAATGTATTAGTCTTTCCGTATGATGAGTATATTTATATTTTTTGCCTTCAGGTAAAGCTTTGATTAATTTTGTTTTATAATTGCATTGCTTTTCCCATTGCTCTAAACGTCGATCCACGCTTTTCGTTCTTCCAATTTTATATAGATGATCTGATTTTTTTCCTTTAGTTAATACTATTATTATATTAATTAGTAATGTGTTTATAAATTTGCCAATACATCAAAAACTTAAAAATCACAACCTTTATAAATGTATATGTAACCGGGCTCATCATATAACGAAATGTCCTTGTTAATTTCAACACGCAAAGTACCTTCTGTCTCTTTTGTAATGTTTTGCTCTGTGTAATCTATAAATGAACAAATCATACCATTCATTAGAGACTATTAAAAAAGATACCTTTTGCAAAAAAAAAAAAAAAAAAAAACAGTAAATACCATCAAAATTAATATAATTATCACATGGCTTTCCAGTTTTAATAAGTGATTTGGAAGGGATTGCTTCGGATTTTTTCTATAAAATAATATTAAACCGTGTATTAATATTAATCTATAAGCTGTTTTTAAATTAGATTATCATTGTTCAGCAAAATAAAAAGCCCCTAGCTGTCCCACAAAATTTTTTCCACCCCTTGTAATAACGACCAATCGAATTTCAGGATCAGGTGTA